CCGGCCATGGGGTCCAGGACGTCCCCGAGAGCGAAGGGTGCTGGGGGGATGGTGTGCTGGGCGGGGCACTGCAGAGGCCCTGAGCCACCTCGGTAGCTTTGCCGCGGCCCACCTGCAGGGGGCCCTCGACCAGGAGGCTGGGGGCCGCAGCCTTCTCTCCTCCCCTCTGCACCCCAGCTGGAGGCTGAGGACTCTGCCCAGCTCTGTGTGACTCGGCACAGGCGCCTGCCCGTTTGGTGCCTCAGTTTCCCCGTCTGTAAAATGAGGAGGAGGAGTTGCAGGGCTGGCCCAAGCGCAAAGGAAGCCTGTGGAGTTGTTTGGCCAGGGGGCGCTGCAGGGCCTCCCTGGGCCTCTAGACCGTAATAGGGTGAAAGGGAGGCGGGAAGGCAGTGTGTATCCGGGCCGGAGAACCACACACCCCTGGCATGTAGTCCAGACCTTCCTCTGCCTGTCTCCCTCCACCTGATTGCCTTCTTGAGCCTCAGTTTCCCCTTGACACAAACGGATACCATGAGAACAGCAATGTGCTGGCCCTGGCTCGGATGTTTCAGAAGCCGGTTGTTAATCGTAGCCATTCTTAAAAATTAAATTCTGTGAACTCACAACGAAACAATTATATTTTAAACAAGCACAACCCAATTGTCTGCTGTCAAATCCATTTTGATTCATGGTGACCCATGTATTACAGGGTAAGACTGTGCCCTAGGGTTTTCTTGGCGCTAATCTTTACCGAAGGAGGTCACTAGGCCTTTTATCCACTGACTTTGGGGTGGGTTCAAACAGCCAATCTTTAGGTTAGTAATCGAGTCAAACCATTTGTACCACCCAGGGACCTATATAAAATCAAGGTCATAAATACTCATCACGTCCTAATTATTTTACTATTATTTATGCTCTTGAAGTTGTTTATATCTGTTGTGTCTGCACTGCGGTGTTATCCTTAGGTGGGGTGGAGTCTGTTTTTACTCATACTGACCCCATGTAACAGAGTAGAACTGCCCCACAGGGTTTTTCTAGGCTGTAATCTTTACAGGAGCTGTTGGCCAAGTCTGTCTCCCTCGGAACCTCTGTCTGGATTCATACCTCCAACCTTTCGGTTAACAGCCAACCACTCAACCATTGCACCACAGGGTGCCTTATCTGCACAGTGGAAATACTAACTCAAGGTGGGTGCATCTCTTCCCAACAATGCTTTCAGCCATGACTTTGGTAGCTTGAAATTAGCCGTGATGGCAACATTTACACCATGCGAATTGGCAAATCACCCCCACACCCTAGAGCTGCTTGTTAAACATATGTCAACACACATACTATCAGCTACATAGATTCCTGGAGGTTACCTCCTGGGCCGGGCATATT